AGGCCATCCGGATCAAGCACACTTTTACGACTCAGAGAGCACCCGGAAATTGCGCATGCGTCCCTCATCTGAGCAGACCGAAGAACTCAAAAAGTTGTACAACATCAACCCACACCCGACAGCGGAGCAGAGACAGGCCCTCGCAGACTCTATTGGCATGTACGTGCTAAATTTACTCCGATCCCAAAGTATTTCCGTCCCGATTGAGCAAAACTCTAACACTGTGGTTTATTGTTATTAGGCGTTATCAGAGCATTACTAATTGGTTCCAAAACCAACGCAGCCTCGCCAAAAAGAAGAGGGAGGATGACGGAGAACCGACCTCCTCCCTTTCAGCTCCCAAACCCGAGTATTCAGACGGGAGCCGGCAGTACTCGGCGTTTCCCCCGCCTTCCCACCCTCATCCGTCTTTGGGCCTGCCTCCTCCGACAAGTCACCCGTCCCTTGTCCATCCCTCCGTTCTGCGGCGGTCTCCCAGTGTCTCTCCCTCCACTGAAGGTCGGTCCCCGCGGAGATCATCGTCCCTCCGGAGCTCTACTCCATATGGCAGCACGCCTGCGACTTTCGCGCGCCCACGACGCTCGCGCCCTGAGCCATATCAGCTGGAGGCACTGAAAGATCTCTTCAAAAAGACTTCCACACCCACCATCGAGGAACGCTCAGCGCTGGCCCTTGAAGTTGGAATGTACGTTGTTCATCATGTCATCGGACTTGTCTTTCATTGTTTCTTCTCCTTTGACCCTCTCAAACACCGATGGCTGATATGTTACATACTTCGCAGGGATGTCGGAAAGGTGACGAACTGGTTCCGTAATCTCCGTCAGACTGCGAGAAAGCGCGCCAAGAAATCGGGCAGTGGAGATGATGAGGACGATGAGAGCTTCCATTCTAGGGAGGCCTATTCGGCCTCAGCGTCGCGGTCTGGCACGCCCTCGCTCGGATCGTCGTCCTCGTCGCTCAACGATGATTCGATGGACCTCGACGACTACGACATGACCAACGTCCATTCTGATAACAACAGTGACGATGAGTACCAGGAGGCGGTGACACCATCGCCTGAGCCATCGCCCTCACCACCCCTACCGTCGCTCAACATCCTTGAAAGCTTCAACTTCCCGTATCCCATCGAGATCGACAAGGCGTCTGTCAAGCAGTTTTCCGGGATTAGAGTTGAGGATGCCCTATTGCTCTTGAGCTTCCACAACCACGTGCCCTAATGGCCAACAAAAGTATCATTGTACGTCCCATGTCATGTCTTCGAATATCTTGGTTCATCTCTAACCATAACAGTGTAGAATTGCTTATATCTATCTATAATCCAAAACCAAATACATGTAGGATACTGCGCAAAACTATCGAAGCCTACGCCCCGACGCCTGCGACATCCAAATCCGCTTCTCCGTAATCCATGCCCCCTCCCTTCTCATCGATACCGCCACTCCACTCCTGTAGCTTTGCAACTATTACCTCTAGCCACCCTTGCTTTATCTTCACCTTCAAAACCAAATAGTATTTCTAGGACCATTTGATTCATTTCCCAGCTCCCTTGCCTCAGCTTCGCTTGCTTATTATCACCCATCTTCCGTTGAACAAAAGATGCCTGTATGGTTTTCAATTCACCTGTACAAGTATTGTACTGTACTGTACAGTGTAGATGAATAACTTCGAGTATGTCTAGGATCAACTTGTAGCGCTTCGAATTCTATGTACTAGGCTGGCTGGCATATGAGAGTACGAATAATCAAAAGAAATTTGTTGTTTTTAGTGGATGACTTTCCTTAATGTTTGGAGACCGTTCTAAATGTAAATTCTCGTTTCAAAGGGTGAGGCCGATGGATGCCGCTGTCGCCTGTCAGGACCCCGGAAAAGATTTCGTTCTCCGTTCTCTTCAATGTTCATTTCAAATGAAAAATCTACACCGCCATTTCCGCGAAACGCGTTAGCAGCGTGAAATTCTCACGGAGTTGAGGTATTTTTGGAATGTTGCGTCGACGTGGGCGGAATATTGTGGACAGTTTGACTCTGGGATTTGGACACCGTGACTACATTTAATGTGGGTAGCACTTGTAATCTGATAAGCCGTTCATGAATTTTGGTAGCTTAGACGGTTGCCTGTAACAATGTGCTGTCCATCTTCCTCGGCTTGTTTCTACCACCATCTAATTTGGTCTCATACCATGAAATTGTTTACTCTACCGGCATGTTTTTTGATGTGTT